ATTTTAATTGATAAATGTAAAAGCTGAGTCATTGTAAATTACTTTTCAGATAAACCAGGTAAGTTAAATGTGTATATAACTTTCTGTTCTTGCACTTTGGGTTTTTTTTTTTTTTTAACAAGATTTGTAAGAAATAGTCTTTCAAAGGAGAAGTGAGGGAGAAACAAAGGGAAGGAGGTAGAGGGTTAATAAGAGAGAGGGAAAGGAAAGCCATTTTTATAAAAGATTTTTGTTTAAGGATTTTCAAGGGAGTTTTTTTTAAGCCCCTTTACATATTTTTGATAAAAATTTTTAAAGGTGAACACTTTTAAATGACACGTTTCTCGTGATCATATTTGTCATCTGTCACAAACCAGTGCTGTTTGTTCATAGACAGCTTTCAGAAAGTCTCAGAACTGTGGCCATCGAGTCACTTGGTTGTTTATTCTTGCTCCAGAAGGAAGCATAAAGTTCCACATCCAGAGATACTTAATAAATTGGGTAAAAATCTCAATATGGGAATTAGCTTTAGGCTTCAAAATTTAAAGTTGATTTTTTCTAGCAGGTCATTTTATTAATAAGTAAAATGCAATTACTTTACTCATTACGGATCTGAAGGAAAAACATTAAGACCAAGAAAGAATATAATTACAATATAACTGAAGGCCATTTTGACAATTATTTTCAACCAGCAAGGTCACAGTCATTTACAAATTGAATCCTGTGTATTCAACTTCTCATTTGGAGCAGGAAAATGGGCAGTCATGGGAGAGGGGTCATGTGTAGAAGGCTCGCAGAATGGGGGACCCAGATCTATGTGATGAGGCATGTTTTGTAGAACCGGGAAGAAGGGATATTGATGTCAGAGCCAGAAGAGAAATTTCTGGATGTTTTGATTTTCAGAAATGTTAGAACTGAGTAATAAAGAAAGAAGGATTTTTTTTTCGGAGATGTAAATGACATGGAAGTTAATTTCAGAAGTGTTGGAGAAGTCATATGAAATCTTTCAAAGACGTGAAACTGGAAGGTGGGGTCTAAAGTTGAGGCTTATCACCTATTTCCAAGGTTTGCACTCCAATTTGCTAGAAAATGCTATATTGAGATTTTGCTATAAGGGAATAGAAGTTCTTTCTCTTTTACTTGAATCCCAACTGAAAAATAGAAATATTCTGTATGTTCCTAACTCCTTCAAATGACCTAACATTGAAAGCATCCCTCTGTGAGAGGAAATCAAATAAGCATGCTGTTTTCAGATACACACAACCTTTTTAATACGGGGTACCTGCTCCAAGCCCCGGAGAGGGTTTTAGAATAAATAGGGTTTGTCCTCACTTTATAGCTCTGGCTCGGCGAAGGCTGCAAGTTACAAGTATATGTCACAGGCAGAATAAGACAGCTGCAGCCAACAATAAGTAAGCACTGAGCCCACAGCTCCATTTGCTCGGTCTGAACCTATGGACTCAGATTTCCTTGCACTTGTCTTCTCACCAAGCAGAAGGGCTTCTCCATCTCCCGAGAGCATCTGGATCAGATGAGCTCTCATCAATCACATCTGAATGTCAATTGTCAATGTTCCCTCTTCTGGGGAAATTCCAGTCACCTCTGTGAAGTGTATCTGTCACCACACACTCCCATCCCACCAGTTTTGCTAATCAGACCTCTTTGATGATGGCAGTCCAAGAGTGCTTCTGAGAGAGAACTGAAGTGTGTTACCCTCTTCTGCACATGGCCCTGGATTCTCTTGCTGGGATCATGCTTTTGAAAGCTTTCCAGTCCACTCCAAACCATAAGACCCTTGCCCACATGTACTGAGCTTATGTGATTTCCAGTGGGGGCCACTTCCTACAATTCTGGTGAGAATTCTCTAGCCTGGGTTCTCTCAGGATGCAAGATGGTCCCTGGCCCTTTGGTCAGTCAATTTGTGTAGGAGCAGTTTAGCTGTGTCCATTCTCCAAACAGCAGAGTCTAAACCCACCAAGTGAATACGTGTGTGTCATGGGTGAGTAAGAAGCCCAGAATTTCGGTAGTCCTGAGATGAGATACCTACTGATACACCATTGATTGGCTGAGCTGCCTCATCTGCCTGGCCTTACCATTGAGTCTAGCCATGAGTGTTTCCAACACTCCATATCACTAAAACTCCTACCAATCAAAAGGGGCCAGGCATGCATCATTTATGAGAAGAGAACAGATATTTATTTCAAGATTTGGAAATATGCCACAGTGAAATGCCTCAATGAATTAGAGTGTTCAGAACTTCTCTCTTCCCCATATTATCTCATAGGTCTCTTTGGACTCTACAGTTGTATGACTTTGGAGGTTTTGGATGAAGAGAAAATGGTAGAAGTAGATTGCAAAGATGAATAGGTGTCTGCTAATGACTACACAATGTGCAAAGTATTGTGCAGTCATTAGCAGACGCCTATTCATCTGTGATATTGATTCAGGAAATGTTTGTTGCTGATTCAACAAATATTTATTGAGTACCTACTAAGAGCCATGAAGAATGAAGTCTCCATGAGGGTAGTTGCTGTTCTACTCCTAACCAAACCAGAGTAAGCCATCTCTGGGCTGATCTGGGGATGTAAGATCTAAAGGAAACTAGGCTGTATAAGACATTTAAAAATGTATATTCAGTACCTACTCACTATCTGCCCAATGTGTTCCCAGTACCAGGGCTTCATAGAAGCAGAAAGGTGTGGGCCATGACTGCAGGGAACTCATACCTTAGTAGGATGGTAAACATGTGTACAAACATTTTAAAATATATGTGGGGAGTGCTATGTCTATATAAATAAAGTCCAGTGGGGTCACAGAGGAAGAAGTACTTGACTTCCACGCTCCTGACTTTTGAGGTGACAGCATAAGGAAACATTCTTATTCTATAAAAACATAGCCATGGCCCGAGGTGTCATACCTGCCTGATAGTCACAGCCCTCTCCTTTACTACGTTAAGCCCTGTGCCACCGTCATTCTGAAGTCAGGAGAGACACTGCCTGCAAAGCGTACTAATCAGACTGATTGTATTAATAAATAAACCCAAATTGGTTCTAGATTTTTATTTTCCCCCTCTTGTTTGATATCTGCATTTTTAAGTCCTTTTGTTATTTTCTAAATTCTTTATTCCAGAAGTATGTTCATTTCTAGCCAGACTGCAAATAGAGAATGCACCAGGGACTGTCTGGAGCTGGAGCCTAATTATTTATCAAGTTGCCTTTCCTTAGTTTTCTATTTAGCTGGTGGGACTGTTTATAGATTTTTGGATGTGTTGATCATTTATGCTCATTTAGCCCTATTTACAAAAATCACATGAAAACCATATGCCTTTTCCACTTTTCAATACTTTCATCTTAGTCCTTCTGAGTAGCACAAAAATAACATCCATCATAGTAATTAGTTATTTACTGAGTTCTGCCTAAGCAAGGGGGAATGCATTTGACCTGCATGACTTTGTCAGACCTTAGGAAATCCTTTGAGGCAAGTGCCATCAGCATCTCCTTTTACAGCCTTGAGAAGCTAATAGACTGAAGATTACATAGTTAAAAAAATTTAATCAAAGAATACCTAACAAGGAGATTCTAATAGATTGCATTTTGCATTATCATTTTAAAACTTGGTTTCATCATTATGAGTTTTGGGTGGTTCAGATCAAAGGGAGAAATACCACACAGGCGCAGAAGCAGGGTTTGACCAAGTCATTGTTCTACCTCGGACCATGGCTATGTTTTTGTAGAATAAGAATGTTTCCTTATGCTGTCACCTCAAAAGTCAGGAACATGGAAGTCAAGTACTTCTTCCTTTGTGACCCCGCTGGACTTTATTTATATAGACATAGCACTTCCCACATATACTGTAAAATGTTTGTACATATGTTTATCATCCCACTTAGGTATGAGTTCCCTGCAGTCATGGCCCACACCTTTCTGCTTCTATGAAGCCTTGGTACTGGGAACACATTGGGCAGTGAATAGTCACTGAATATACATTTCAAAATGTCTTATACATCCTAGTTTCCCTTAGTAACTCACTATGTATTCATAAATTCACTAAAGTTATCTTTGAAGTTTGTTTCCAACTTGTACCACCTCATAAGTTACCAAGAAGTATATGTTCACTATCTGCTGGATGAAAGAATGCTTTCTTGTATTTGTTAGAAAAATGTTCCTTTTTAAGTTTCCTGGAATTGAACCCTTGTACATTGTTGGTGGAAATGTAGATTAGTATAGACGTTATGGAAAACAGTATAGAGATTCCTCAAAAAATCAAAAATAGAAGTGTCATGGGATCCAGCAATCCCGCATCTGGTGTATGCCCAAAGGAAATGAAATCAGGATCTCAGAGACGTCTCTGCACCTCCATGTTCACTGCAGCATTATTCACAATGGCCAAGCTATGGAAGCAACCTAAGTGTCCATTGACAGATGAATGAATAAAGAAGTGTATACATACAATTTAATATTATTCAGCCTTACTAAGAAGGAGTTCCTGTCACTCATGACAACATTGATGAAACTGGAGGACATTGTGCTAAATGAAATAAGCCAGACACAGAAAGACAAATATCACATGATCTCACTTATATGTTTGTGAAATCTTGAAAAAAAAAAAAGTCAAACTCATAGAAACAGTTTGGTAAGATATTGGTGGTTACAAGGCATAGGCGCATGGGGAGTGTTGGTCAAAGGGTACAAACTTTAGTTATAAGTTCTGGAGACCTAATATAGCGCATGATGACTATAGTTAATGATAATGTATGATATGCTGGGCGCTTGGTAAGAGAGTAGACAGACCACGTGCTCCCACCACACACCTACAAGTTAACTATGTGAGGAGATGGATATGTTAATTTCCTTGACTGCAGTAATCATTTCACTATGCAAATGTATATCAAAATATGTTGTATATTTTAATATATACAATTTTGTGAAAAAAAATTTCATGGAGTTATAATGCAGTAACACTTAAAAGGAGTGTCTTTCTTTTGTCCTATTGTTTTCTAATGATTCTATCATGTTTTTCAGGAAGGTGATGTCTGGCCCAATTCATCAGCTGAAATCACCGTGTACTTTAACCCACTAGAAGCCAAGCTCTATCAACAGACCATTTACTGCGACATTTCAGGTAGTGACCTCCGCCAAGTAGTAAACTCAGGTTACCAAGTGCCCAGAGCATGAAGTGTGGTGCCTGAGTATGTGTGTGTGCACACATGTGCATGTGCATGTGTGATGAAGCCATGAGCAGTGCACAATATCAATTAGGGGAATTACGGAGCCAAGCCATGCCCCCTCACTTCTTTCTAGAAGAGATTGAACTTTAAAGTGCTTTACAGTTGTGGCAGTATGTGGGAGAAATGGGAACTGTATTAGTCCATTTTCATACTGCTGAGAACTGCCAGAAACTGTGCAATTGATAATTGAAAGAGATTTAATTGACTCACAATTCAGCCTGGCTGGGGAGACCTCAGGAAATGTACAATCGTGGTGAAAGGTGAAGAGGAAGCAATGCACCTTCTTCACAAGGCAACAGGAGGAAGAAGTGCTGAGCAAAGTGGGAAAGAGCCCCTTATAAAACCATCAGCTCTCATGAACTCACTATCACAAAAACAGCATGGGAAAACTGCCACCATTATTCTATTACCTCTACCTGGTCTCTCCCCTGACATGTTGGAATTATGGGGATTACAATTCAAGATGAGATTTGGGTGGGGACACAAAGCCTAACCGTATCAGGGACCATGACTTTTAGATCAGTAAGAATGTTGCTTGCAACAAATTCCCACAAGCTCATTTTTTTGTTCCTTTTATAGTATTTGATTACTAATTTTTTTCTTAAGTTTTACCAAAATAATGCCAAAGGGGATGGAAAGGCAGCCTGGCAGAGGCCAGAGCAACCAGGAGGGTGTACAGGTGGGGTGGCAACCTGATGATGACACCAGAAGATTTGATACATACAGGGAATTAAGCAAAAAAGTAAATCCATTGAGGCTGATGGGGGTGCTGACAGTATTTCTCACTATTGGAGGAAGGAGATACAAACTTGGAGAAGAAGGTGAAGCCAAACACTTTGAAATTGGAATGTAATTAGTATTTTTTTGTTCCATCAACTTTACATAGTCTCTTGATGTGTAAGGATATTGGTGCCTGTAACTAGGTTACCCCTGAACAGTCCACTCGCCTTCTCCCCCAGCCTCCGTGAGCTGTTCCACTTTTACATAATCATTATTGATAACCATTGTTAAGTCTTCTTCTTACATAAATATTACACACCGAAGGGCCAATTGGATTCTGGGATTACATTTTATCTAGTTTGTTCAGTCACTCGAAGAATGTCCCTAAGGCCTGTATCAAGTATACTCTTTCTTTACCAATTTACCAGTTACTCACAATTATGCCTCATTTTAGTTTACTTCATAACTCTCTGTACAGCTTTTGATCTCCCCCCATGGTTTCTAATTCTTTATTTCTTCATTGCTGTCTAATGTCAGAATTTGTTCTCTTCTCTTTGAAGACACTTCTCAGCCTATCAACTTCTTATTTTAATTCAGATCAGTCACCTCCTGAACAAACACTTGTTATCCAGAAGTTTTTAAAAATGTATATTTCTATGTGTTCAGTCATACCTTTTCATTCTCAGTTTGCTCAGGTAACTTCCTTGGAAATTATATATATAAAATGTATGTATATAAAATATGGAAGTGGACACTTTGATCCTTGAATTGCTGAAAATACCTAATTTTGTCTTCATACTCACCTAGTAGTTTGACTGACTATAGGTTCCCAGGTTCAAAGTCATTTCTCCCCAGAACACTGGAGAACTTGTGACTTCTTGATTGGAAAAATTCCAAAGGCTGAGGTCATTTAATGTCCTTTCCTTTCTAGGCAGCCTGTTCTTTATCTCTGGATGCTTTCGGGGGTCTTCTTTTCGTATTTGGGGTCTGAAATGCGATGAAGTCGTGTCTGGGAGTGGGTTGTTTCTTATTCATCTTCCTCAGCTTTCTGTGGGCCATTGGCGTCTGATGACTCACATCACCTCAGCTCTGAGAAATGTTGTTTCGTTGATATTCTTTCCTCCATTTTTCCATTTTATTCTTCTGGAAAACCTATGAATCCAGTGTTAGATCTGGACGATTGATCATTTTTTGTCAAAGAACAAGATTTTAATTATCCAACCCTACTAAGAAACGACACTAAATATAATTCAAAGCTATGCCTAGAGAAACACTGATGTTCATGAATCAGGAAAGATGGCAGGAGTGTGCTGTGTAGCTGTGGCTCTGCGCAGCCACCAGCAGACCTGTGGCCAGCACATGCAGCATCATTCCTGGTGTGCAGAGCCACCGCCCTGAGCTTAAATAGTCCATTTGGTACATTACTGCTATTCAAATGGCAGTTTTCCCTTTTATACAGACAACAACAAACCCAAGTTACTCTTGGACTTGAATTGTTTCCCTTTGCAGTTGAAACTTTCCTTGCCTGTCTTGAGCACGTTCAAGAAAGCATTTTGCGACATTGGTTTCAGGGCATCTTCCATTTTGGAACTTTCTTGCTGACGTACAAGCGGGTGTTACTCAAAAACTTGGAATGTTTACTTTTTTGCAGTCAAGGTCAAGCACTGAACGTGGTAAGCATTTGCCAATTGCTTTGCAAGAGACTCAACTCAGTTTTTTTCTGAATCCTTCCTAGCGATTGTTCATTTCCACAATGTTTTTAATTTTCGAGACCTCTTTTGTTCTCTACTCCTGTTTCATAACTAAGTGTTCTTTTATGGATGCAACTTCTTCTCATTGAGCTGAGGATAATCATCTGAACTTTCATTTCTTAAAAAAATAAATCTATGTTCTCTGAATTGCCTGTAATGTCAGCTGTTTGTCTTTCATGCGTTCATGGGTTCCTTCCAATGCCTTCTGATCCATGCCCATTCATGTGTATATAAGAATGCAAAAATGGCTTTCATGTTGATGGTAGCTAGTGCTAAGCTACTTACCTCTGCTGTTTTATGTCTTGGTTTCCCAGGAAACCCAGGTTCCTGTGTTTGTTTTAAACCTGGCGGGGGATGGGGGAAAAGTATAAGACTGCACTGTCAGCAAGAATGTACATCATTTGCATCCTTCAAGTGCAAAAATTCCCCTATTCTGCTACACCCTGCTGTTTTCAGCCCATATTTATGCAGTCACTTTTTTTTCTGTGTAAAAGAGGCTCAGGCGGTCTAAGAATGTGCAGAAAGATGAGCTGCCTGGCCCAAGCCTGTACTACCCTGCATTCTCCCTGAGGTGTGTGTCCTCTCCTGATGATGTTTCCCTCACCTTTCCTCAATATAACCATCACCTCGACTTTCATGATAGTTGTTTTCTTGCTATCATGTATAATTTTACCACCTTCATATTCATCCCTAAGCAAAAGAGTACAGTTTTGCCTGTTTTTGTAATTGATATATTGGTATCTATTTTGAAACTGATGTATATGTGTGTGTATATATATATATACAGGACTCATCCAGTATATCTTATGCTGCTAGCACCAAGAAAATGAAGCTACTCAATAGAAGTTGATTAAATAAATAAGCAAATGGAAACAAAAAATGACTAAGTGGATGAGTCCTGGTTTGATTTGACCTCGCCTTTGCACGTGAGTGTAGAATTCTGCAGACAACCCCAGAATGAATACAGAATGGACTGGAAGTTTTTGGATTGACATAAGTCTGTCTCCACCCTGCAGATCAGCATCACCTACAATGCACAACCTACTAGGTCTAGAGGAATGTTAGCACAGTAGTGTCAGATGTGGGCTGGAAATGCTCCAGTGGCCCCCATGTTGCAGGTGGTGGGACCTCCCTCCCATCTGCAGCTCCCTACAGACGTCGTGCTTGGCCTTATTCCAGAGGGTTGGCTGCTCTCCAGGAGGTTCCCAGCCATCACACAACAAGTCAGATTTCTCTATTGTTTTGTTCGTAATTCTGAATTCTGCCACAGAATTCACATCCTGGGTAAGCCGAATAGTGTAATTTTCCATCTGCACAGCATTCTTCTTTATTTTGTTAGTGGATTATTAAAAGATACACTTGCCAGGGAGGAGCTTTGCTTACATAGTAATTCCATGTTATCTTCCTTATAAATTCTATGCAATTCTTTGTGTCTGTTCAAGAGCTGATGATGATTCCTTACTGTTATCTTTAACAAGTTGGTAAAACCTCCTGGTCTTAGGTCACTAAGAAATTCTTGTTAGATAACAAAAAGCTTCTTCCCTCGTTTTGTTTAGTTTTGTTTTGCTTTGATTTGAGATATATGTGGCCTGTAGAAGCAAATACATCTAGATAATGCTTTCCTCCTCATGTCTTTTTGCCTAATGATAGTATAATTTATATAATGGTTTGAACACATTGTTTTTAAAATATTTCCCAGAGATTACACATAACATTAAATGAAAGATGTCATTCTTTTCATGATTGCGTAGGAATCCATTGTATTTATACACCACAATTTAATTTTTAAACGTGTCATTATTGATAGAATGTAGACTCAGAAAATACATAATACATTTAGTGATAGGCACAGAAGTGGCCTCCCAAAGATGTCCAGATTGTAACCCCCAGAATCTCTGGACAGATTACATTAAATGGCAAAGAGGAATTGGGGCAGCAGATGAAATTTAAGTTACTAATGAGCTGACTTTAGGATAGGGAGACTATCCTGGATCATGTTGGTAGCTCAGTATAATCACAAGGTCCATAAATGTCGAAGAGGTAGGCGGAAGGATTGGTTTCAGTGTCAGAGGGGCGTAATATGAGAAAGTCTCAACCAGTCATTTCTAAACAGTGAAGCCGGACAAGGTAAGCAATTCAGGGAGCCTCTAGAAACTGGAAAAGGCAAGAAAACGAATCCTCCCACCCCAGAGTCTCCAGGAAGGAATGCAGCCCTGCAAATACCCTGATGTTAGCACAGTGAGACCCATTTTGGACTTTGTTTGTTTATAGTTGCAACTTTTTATATTTTAAAATAAATTTTTTAATTGACAAATAATAAACATACATATTAATGGAGTACATAGTGATGTTTCAATACACATAATGTACAGCGATCAGATCACTTTGGACCTTTGACATACATAACTTTCAGATAATACATT